AAAAAAATTAATGCCATGATTCAGCTAAGAATAGTGCTAAGAACTTTTCATACTTATTTTTTCATTTAATTCTAAAATTTATGGTGAGGTTTCTAAGTTTTGGCAGGGTGGGGGGAGAAGAGTCAGTCCTGGGGCTTGATCTCAGGGCCTGAGCACTGTCCATTGAGCTTCTCTTGCTCAAGGCTAGCACTCTACCACTTGAGCCATAGCTCTGCTTCTGGCTGTTTTTTTTTTTTTGGTAGTTTATTGTAGATAAGAGCCTCAGGGACTTTCCTGCCCTAGCTGGCTTCAAATCTTGATCTTCAGAACTCAGCCTCCTAAGTAGCTAAGATTACAGGCATGAGCCACTAGTGCCAACCTGAGATTTCTAATTTTTAATTTCACTAATGTTCCAGAAAGAAAATTAAAGCCCACAAATAAAACTTGTTAATGCCTATCCGTAGTATTTCCCCCACCCTCTGTAACTTTGGCTCATACCAAGTCAAAAGTATCACTACCCAGTTTAGTTTTGTGCAAATAAACTAAATTTGACTTATTTCATTTTTTTAATAGTTTCCTAGTTAAGCCAAAGATTGTCCTGCAAATGTCCACAGTTCATTTCTCAAGAGCTTCATTGTCTACTGTCCCTAGTTTTTCTCTCAGGACTTACCTTTGATAGCCCATGACTCCTGAGGGCTCATCAGGATAGCCATGAAGAAAATTTCTAACATCAGGACTCCATTTAAGGCCATTTCTTCTTGGGTGTTTTGATGGGGACCCGCAGAGCTCTCAAGAGAGACAGACTAGAAAAGAATAAAGATAAGAGAATTAAAGTTCAAATCAGTGGAGCAGTAGCCAATCAGAAAATTCTTTTGAGATGACACAGCTGTTGCTAGGGAAAGGGCCCTCTTAAAGGGTGCCAGATAGGGAATATGTAGCTCAGCATTTAATACCAGACTCTCCATTTATTTGTTATTTCAAGAAGCAAATTTTCTTAAGAATTATTTTATCCATTTATTCCAGAAGTCTCTTAAGTGAGCAGAATAAAATTTTAAGTTTTTGAGAATATTATTCAATTTACTCTCTCGTGAATCCCAATCCAAATTCTAGAAAGGAATATACTTAGGAGTAGTTGAAGCACATTAATGAGAAAAGAACTGGGGTTGGAGGCATGGTTCAGTTGGTAGAACACTTAGCCAATAAGTAAAAATGTCAGTTACTGAGTTCAAGTGCCTGTTTCAGACCAAAAGTTAGCTGGGGAGAGGGGCGAAAGGCTATGGGGAAAGGGGGAGAGAGGGAGGAGGGAAGGAAGAATTGATGGAAGTACCATACCTAAAGTGGGTGCTAACACCAATTATGCCTCTGGGATATGATAGCATGAAGTTTTGTGTGTTTTGTTTTGACTTCTGTTTTTAGGAGCAATGAATCAAGTTAAACTGTCCGACTATGGAGAATGCTTGAACTTGGGCAGTATAGACAGCAGCTTCAGTTAAGAATCTCCTGGGTTGGGCTGGGAAGGTGGCTCAGTGGTAGAGTGCTTGCCTTGCATGCCTGAGGCCCTGGGTTCGATTCCTCAGCACCACCACATAAGCAAAAAGAAAAAAGCCGGAAGTGGCGCTGTGGCTCAAGTGGTAGAGCCTAGCCTTGAGCTGAAGAGCTGAGGGACAGCGCCCAGGCCCAGAGTTCAGGCCCCACGACCGGACCCAAAAATAAATAAATAAACAAGAATCTCCTGGGCGAGCTGGGAATGTGGCTCAGTGGTAGAGTCCTTGCCCAGCATGCATGAAGCCCTGGGTTCAATCCCTCAGTACCACATAAACACAAAAGGCTGGAAGTGGTGCTGGCTCAAGTGGTAGAGCGCTAGCCTTGAGGAGAAAAGAAGTTCAGGGACAGTGCATGTGCTGGGTAGAGACGGAAAGCTTTGCCTTAGAACACAGAGCTGAGCTTATAAACAACCAACTGGAATGGAGACACCTTCTCTTGTGTGCCACACACTGGGGACACTCTTTTATAAGAGTCTGACTGGAGGGAGTGCCTCATTTGGCCACTTAGGTCAGTACCACAGACCGGGCACACTAAAGGTAAAGAATCCACAGGTGAACTTTACTACACCTTCTCTCATGTAAAGAGATTATAAAAGCTCTTCTGCCATACAGCTACTAGAGTTCTGAACCAAAGAAGATATTTTGATCTTCTCTCCATGGGGAATACTAAAAGATGAGAGATTCTGAAGCTTCTGTGTTAGAACACAAAGTGTGAGAGAAAAGAAAAATTCAAACTACACATGGAGAGGACGGTAATCTCAATGCTTCCAACAAAAAGTGACCTGTGGCTGGGAATGTAGCTTAATGACAGAGTGCTTGCCTAGTATGCATGAAGCCCTGGGTTCCATTCCCTTGTACCACATACACAGAAAAGGCCAGACGTGGCCCTGTGGCCCTGTGTGCTAGCCTTGAGCAAAAGGAGCTCAGGAACAGTGCCCAGGCCCTGAGTTCAAGCCCCAGGACTGGCAAAAAAAAAAATGTGAGCTGTCAGTGCTGCAAGTCTTGGGCTAGCGTGTCTATCATTCAGCATCAATTGTAACCCATCTGCTTAGGGTAGATTTCCACACTGCTGCACCATTATTCTGCTATGCAGCTCCCCTCCCAGATCAGGAGGGCAAACATCCTAAACATTACTGATTTTCTCATCACATCCAAGGGCTTGCAACATCCTCACATGCTCTGAATTATTAATTCTGAGATCACTAAGAGGAGACCACAACACAGCTCTGTCCTCTATATACATTCCTATCAGGAATGTATTTCTTGGAAGCAGGGTATAGGATAGAAGAAGATCTATGATGTAGCCTCATCTCATCTTCAGAGGCAAAAGCACTAGTACTATTTTTCTGTGTACCATCACACCTTAAAAGCTGCTTAACATACACACAGTTGCTTCAACAACTGAGCCTTCAATCCAAAGTGCTGCTCAGTAACCTATGACATGCCTTAGACCTCCACCGCGGATTGGCTCTGCTAAGGAGATGACCAAAACTGAGACATTTTCAAAAAGACTTTCAGTTCCCCTTGTCTGAAATTGGCAAGAAGTTGTTCCTATTTGGCCAGCACTCACGGTTTCCTGTTCTCTCAAACTCTAGCTTCTGGTGTGTGGTAGGGTATTTCCAAGGGCACCTGAATGGCGTCATCATCTTGGTGACATGAAGACGTGAGGCAAGCACTCTACCACTGAGCCACCGTCCCAGCCCCAATTTTCTGGTGGTTAATTGAAAATAAGAATCTAATGGAGGGCTGGGAAGGTGGCTCAGTGGTAGAGTGCTTGCCTTGCATGCATGAGGCCCTGGGTTCAATTCCTCAGCACCACATAAGCAGAAAAAGCTAGAAGTGGGCACTGTGGCTCAAGTGGTAGAGCACTCGACTTGAGCTGAAGAGTTGAGGGACAGCGTCCAGGCCCAGAGTTCAGGCCCCATGACTGACAAAAAAGAAAGAAAGAGAGAGAGAGAGAAAGAAAGAAAGAAAGAGAGAGAGAGAAAGAAAGAACGAAAGAAAAGAAAGAAAGAAACTAATGGACTTACTTGCTTAGGCTGGCTTCGAACCACAATCATCAGATCTCAGCCTCCAGAATAGCTACAATTACAGGCGTGAGCCACCAATGTCTGTTTTGTCTGTGGAGGTTCTGGTGCATAGGGCAATAGGAGAGGAATGGAATGGGATCCATTCTCAAGGGACTGATCCTGGAGAAGAGGCCTGATCTAGGAGGTAAGACAGTGGCCTCACCCAGGGCACTGTTTTGGGGTGCATGTCTCAAAACTACTTGTCACTCTCTCCCGCTGCCGGCAGAAGACAGACCAAGAGCACTGAGGAACAATTACACTAGGATATGAAGAGGGCTGATTTTTCTTTCTCTTCCCTGCAGGACTTATACATGTGTAATTCCCATTGCCAGGAAATCTCTAAAAATAAATCATCTTTCTGGTGAGTTGACTTGAAAACTTTTTAAATTGCTTTCTACCAAGTCTCTAAGAGTAGAAGCAGATAACCTCTGTGTGAATTTCCACATGTTCATAGCAAAGACGCTAACATTTCTTGGTTTGATATTGTTTGCTAAATAAGAAAATTCCCTTATTCTCACATTTCATCTCCTTTCTTTTTCACTCTCTCGTCTTTCCAAGCCACTTCACTCCCAATAGTGACATGTAATACCTAAGAATAATGGGAGCAGTGAACATAATGGGCTGTCCTATGTTAAAACAAAAGAAATGGACCCCAGAAATGAATCGGTTTGTCCAGAGTAAAGCTTGGATACATTTCAGAAATGAATCAGTTTGTCCAGAGTAAAGCTTGGATACATTTATAGCAAAAGTTAGAATTTATTTTTTTTTCATGGTAAAGACCACTTTATTGTGGTAGTCGTTCGTACAAGTCAATAAATATTGATCCCCAAGGAAGAACTCGGTTACTCAGGGCATCACCAGTCCAAAGCAGGATGAAGGACATGGAACCAGGTGACTGCTGGGGCAACTTCACTCAGTTCTGCTTCTTGGGAAAGGAAGCCAAAGCCAGCTGATATATGGCATATGCTGTTCCACCACTTGTAAGAAACATGGTGACTCTATACAGGAGAGCATCAGTCACCCCACCCTTTAGATGCACTGGAATTCCATTATCCTCCTGAAACAGCTTTTGTTTTTCTGCAACCTTATTTTGCCAGTGCCTGCGTGGAGCAGTGCTGATGGTCCTCTGGGTAACTTGACGAAGAGCCAGCAGATTTCGCAGCATCCTGGCTCGGTGACCACCGCTGACTCCGACGAGAGAACACCGGCTGGAGAGCTACCCCACCGGAAGCGGAAGCGGGACAAAAGTTAGAATTTAAATCCCAGGCATTCGAAGTTCCTTTTGTCATCTGGTGCCTGAGACAGAAACAAGGAGGGAAGCAGAAAGGGAGAGGGATAGAGAGAGGCAGGAGACAGAGAAGAGAGAGAGATCCTAGAATTTGGAGGAAATCAATCTTGTCAAGAGATTAAGTCTTTGAAGGTCAAGACTGTGAGCATTCTATGGTGCCCTCTGGAGGCCACATAGGCCTACAACTCCTATTCTTGCCTTCTCTGGAATCTGTTCCTCCTGCCCACTCTGTGCCATAAGCATTTGTCCAGATTCTCCCAAATGTGAAGTCTAATCAGAATAGTAAAGAGTTTGTGTCTTCTTTCTCTCTTCCACATACAATTTTCATACAAAAAATCTCTATTCAACCAGGTGCCAGTGGTTCACACCTATAATCCTAACCACTCAGGAGGCTGAGATCTGAGGATTACAGTTCAAAGCCAGTCTGGGCAGGAAAGTCTGTAAATACTTTTTTTTTGTCAATCATGGGCCTGAACTCTGAGCCTGGGTACTGTCCCTCAGCTCTTCAGCTCACTCTACCACTTGAGCCACAGCGCCACTTCCAGCTTTTTCTGCTTATGTGGTACTGAGGAATCGAACCCAGGGCCTCATGCATGCAAGGCAAGCACTCTACCACTGAGCCACCTTCCCAGCCCCATGTGAAGACTTCTTCTCTACAATGAACTACCAAAGAGCAGAAAGTAGAGCTATGGCTCAAGCATTAGAGCTGTAGCCTTGATCAAAAAATATTCAGGGACAGCACCCAGTACCTGAGTACAAGCCATAGGGGTGTGTGTGTGTGTGTGTGTGTGTGTGTGTGTGTGTGTGTGTGTGTGTGTTCATGGCATAATTTAGTCCACAGTTCTTATTTCAAAACTAGTTGGCCATAGGAAGCTGGTGGCTCACACCTGTAATCTTAGCTACTCAGGAG